TAAGGGGAAAGACGCTGCTACCTGTCCCCACTTGTCGGAGCTGATTTTCTGGCCAAGGTTTATGAGCAAGACATGGACCTCCCACTGCTATATTCTCATCCTTGTCTATTCAAAGGCCAGCCAACCCTCTGGCTTCAAAGAGAAAAGATATGAAGCAGAAACGCAGGTTTAAAGGGGATGTCCCTTTGCCGAAAATCCCAGGAACAGGGGAGGGAGGCATCAGAAACAGGCATTTTTTGAGGATGATGCAGGCTTTTGATTATCTCCACAGATAAACCTGTGCTTCAAGAGAAACACAGACTGCACGTATGGGTTCGTATAGCAAGCAAAGGAGCCGTTTTGACATCACTCACAGCAGCACCTCTTTTTGAGCCCAAAAAGGAGAATTAGGAAGGGTCAAATAAGCTTTTTCTATTCCAAATACTTCAGCCTACACACATGATCACTAAAAAAAAGCAGCAGAAGAAAAGAAATCAGGCCCCACACCGCTGAATCGAGTTTCATTTGCAGTTCGCTTTGACAAATATAGTTCGGAAAGCCCTTGGGAAGGCACTTAAAGGACGTCTTCTGTTCCCACTTGCAGCTGGGGTGCTGCAGCAAGACTGGCTGGGGAGACACCCCGAGAAGCCCCCCCCTGCTCTGTACCATCTAATATGTACTGGGCTCCCACCGCTTTATCTTAAGCCTGCGTGAGCCACAGAGGCCACCAGATGGGCTAAAAAAAAATGCAGTTTTCCTATGGATGTCCAACAGTCGTCTATGGGAACAAGCAGCCCAGGCTGTGAGTGGACTGCTCAGAAACAGAGCATAAATATTTTGCAATCAAACAGGGAAAGTGATTTGTTGAGGAAAAAAAGTAAAAGATCGCTGCCTGGATAATTCAGTACCTGTAGTGCTTTTCTCAACAAATTTGCAAAAACAGCCATAAAAAAAAGTGCAACATTTTATAAAAGAGGAAAACCAAACACTGACTTCTTGGGATCCCTTTTGGCTTGATTTCCTGTGGTTTTAGTGATGCATGGGACACAGCTTTCACACAGGGATCACAAGCTACGGTGCAAAGACTAACAAAGCCTCACCTCTCCTTAGGAAGAGAAGCAAACGTGCATTTG